AGCTGTCCACAGAAGGGAAATGCAGGCCAGTTGGGGTCTGGCAGCAGTTTAAAACAGAATACCTAGGCTATTTCTCCCAGCTGCTTCCCATCCTGCCTGGGGACCTGCTAAGGTGAGGAGCCTCTCAAGTTTCATTTCCCCGCGGGTTCTACACTCGGCCTTTGCAGCCCTGGCACATGGAGCCTCCACTCCCCTGGGTGGCAGCATGTCATGGAGGGGTCAGGCTTTAGAATCAGACAGGCCTGCCTGAGTCCTGATTCCGTCTCTATAAATATGCTTCTTAGACTAGGCCCCCCATCTGTAAAATGGGCACAATAATGCCTAACTGGTGGTATTCTTTGAGGATTAGCACAAATGATGTAATACCTGTGAAGGGCCTGAAATGTAGTAGGTGCTCAAAAAATTTCTTTTCTTTCCTCTTCCCTCCTAGGGACCCAGGGCCTTCTGCTTAGCACAAGTGGTGCAAAAATGGTCAGCAGCATCCCCCCTCACCCACTGATTGCCTGGGTAACCTGGGGGCAAGTCCATTCCCTTCTCTGCGCCTGTTTCTCCACCTGCAGAATGAAAGGGTAGAGCTTGCTGATCCTTCACTGGTGTATATAACATACCTAAAAGCGCATGTATGATATCTTTTCGGGCATGCTATCTACAAGAATGTTCCTAGCAGCATTATTCAGAATAGCCCAATATGTAAACAACTGAAAGGTCCATCAAGAGAAGAATGGATGAACAAACTGTGGTACAGGGGACTTCGCTGGTGGCACAGTGGTTAAGAATCTGCCTGCCAATGCAGGGGACATGGGTTCAATCCCTGGTCCGGGAAGATCCCACATGCCGCGGAGCAACTAAGCCCGCGAGCCACAACTACTGAGTCCGCGTGCCACAACTACTGAGTCCGCGTGCCACAACTACTGAAGTCCGCATGCCTAGAGCCCGTGCTCCGCAACAAGAGAAGCCACCGCAATGAGAAGCCCGCGCACCGCAACTAGAGAAAGCCCGCGCACAGCAACGAAGACCCAATGCAGCCAAAAATAAATAAATCTATTAAAAAATTATTACAAAAAAACAAAAACAAATTGTGGTGCAGTGTCTTAATGAAATACTTCCTAGCAACTAAAATGAATGAACTACCAATTCACCAACATCATGGACAAAAAGAGCTAGATCCAAATGAAAATTTAGTGTAAGATTCCATCATTTAGACAAACTCCTAGGACAGGTCAAACTAGCCTATGGGGATTGAGGGCAGAAGGGTAGTCACCTCTGGGTGAGGGGGGACATTGACTGGGAGGGGGCCTGAGGGAACCTTCTGGGGCACTGGGGATGTTCTATATCTTGATCTGGATATGTTACATAGACGAATACAGCTGTGAAAGTTCACCAGATTATGACTTTAAAATCAGTGCACTTTATGCATTATTTTCATCATCCCCTTTGCCCACTAAGTTCCAGCCTAACTTCTTTCAGTTCCTCAAACTTGCCAGGTGTGGTCCCTCCTCGGGGTGTTTGCACTTGCTGATCCCTCTTCCTAAGATGCTCTTCCTCCAGATCTTCCTTCCTTCCACTTAGGTCTTTGCTTACCTGCCACCTCCTCGGAGAGGCCTTCCCTGCTGCCTCCACCTGAAGCAGTCCCTCATTCCCTCACTATTCCGTCACCCTAATTCTCTACACAGCACCCATCACTATCTGATACTTTCTTTGTTCTGGCTGTTTGTTTGTTTATTTTCTTTCTCCGCCTACTAGGATGTCAGTTCCCTGAGAGCAGGAAGGTGGCTAGCTGGGTTCAAATCTCGGCTCCACCTAGAGCAATGGCTGGCACACAGTAGGTACTAAATAAATATTTGTGGGATGAGCAGGCCATTTCTAGAGAAGGTCAGATTATGTCTCAAAATTTTACTCTTCAAAGTGGTGAGAGGGAATTCATTTTTTGTCCTTTCATTCACCCCAAAAACAAACAAGACAGGCCTACGAGGTGCCAGGCCCAATCTGAACTCACCAGGGTTTCTGAGGGAACGCCCAGAGTAAGTGGCTGGCTCAGCCTCCCAGTTCCCAGGGTAGGGAGACTGGTGGGCTCTGGGTGTGGCCAAGGCTGCCCATGCCAACTAAATGTCTGGGCAGCAGGAGGGCCTGTGCCTTGGCAGGAAACCACCCCTTCTAAAGAGACAGAGAGCTCAGCAAAAGCCAGCCACTGTCCCTGTCTGCAGGCCTGGTCACTTGCTGCCATGGCAACTGTCCTGCCAAGCCACTGGCACTGAATGCAGGAGACACAGTGCCAGGAAGGCAATTGGGCATCTGCTGGCCTCCCTTGTCCTGGCAAAGGAGGCACCTTGGCCTGCCTGAGCCCACAGCTGGGAGAGGTACGTGTTGTTCCTGCGTTTTTCCGTGTGTGTGTGTGTGTGTGTGTGTGTGTGTGTGTGTGTGTGTGCCATGCACAAGCACGGACAGTCTCTCCCACATCTGGAATGGGGATTCCCATGGGGGTAAAGAATTGTTCAGTAGTAAAAGCTGTCATTCACTGAGTATTTACTACACCCAGGTACCATGCTAGATACTTGTGTATTTCCTCATTCTAGTCTCACAACAACTCTATGAGACAGGAACTATTCCCACTTTTACAGAGGAGGAAAATGAGGCACACAGTGGTTATGTAACTTGCCCAGAGTCTCACAACGAGTAAGCAGTAGAGTGAGGATTAGAACCCAAGCAATCAGGCACCAAAGCCTTAATGAGAAGGAGCAGAGCCTCTCCACGGGACTGAGTCATTTGGTTTTCCCACTGAGCTCTGCACAGGCACCAAGGAAAAAGAAACAGGTGTGATCTGGCCTCCGGCTTCAAGTTGCCTCTAGTCCCCTGCAGGAGATGCCGGTACACATAACCACGATGCGGAGCCCCAAGTCTCATAGAGTAGAGCGGAGTACAGAGGGCTCTGTGGGGCAGGAAGACGTGAGAGGGGAGCCTGACTCCTGCACCTGCTGCTTGGATCTCCAACTGGGGGCTGTGGGGTCGCAGTGGGAGCTGTCCTGGAATCAGAGGACCGATGAAGTTCTGCCCTGGGAGGCCACCTGCTGGACAGATGGCAGCAGGAGAGCCCGGGCAGCCGGGCACTCCTCTCCTTCACAACAGGTGTTTCCCGGGTGCTCTCCGTGTGCCTAGCACCGTGCTCAGTGCAGGGGTGCAGAGCAACACAGACAGTAAACCCAACAGGCTTTGTGGCACTTACAGTCGGCTGGGGGTGGGGGGCAAACATGAACCAACAGCCCCCGAGCAAAGATGTAACCACAGCTGACAATACGTGCTCTGAGGCACTGTGAGGGGGTCCCCTTCCAACAGCGTGCTGGGGGAAGGTCTCTCCAAGGAGGTTATATGTAAGCAAAGACTTGAAGGCTAGTAGGTGTTTGCCAGGCAGAGTGGGAGAAAGGGCATTTGGGCAGAGGGGACAGCAAGGGCAAAGGCCCTGAGGTGGGAACAAGCTCACCAGATTCCAGGAACTGAAAGAAGGTTGAAGCCTGCTGCAGGTGGAGGGCAGTGAGGCATGAGGCACAGGTCTCGGGCTTCCGGAGCTTGCATTTGATCCCGAGGGAAGGGGAGCTCTGAGGGTTTCAACGAGGGAAGTGCTGCAATCCCACCCACGGCTGCCGCTCCTGGGAGGAATGGATTGTGGGGACCAGCCAGGAGGCCAGTGCAGAGCAAACGGTGGCTGGGACCAGGGTGATGACAGAGGAGATGGAGAGGGACAGATGGATTCTAGAGAATGATTTTAAAAGCAGGATCGGTGGGGCTAGTGTTGGATTGGATGTTGGGATGTTGGGGAGAGGAGGGAATCAGGGTGTCTGGCTTGAGTAGAGGTAGGGACTTGAATGAAGTGGGAGCACTGCATGAGGAGCACATGAAAAGCTCAGTCCTGGACGGGAAGGGAGCTGGAGAAGCCCATGAGGGAGCCCAAGGGAGATGCACAGGTGGGTGGTGGATGTGGGTCCTGGACTCAGACATAGAGAAAGGCAGGGCACCATCTGCATCGGGTGGGGTTTAAGCCTTAGGAGGGCAAGACCCTCCAGAAGAAGGATGTAGAGGGAGGGGAGGGAGCCAGCAGTGCCGAGTGGGTGGGGGGCACTAGAGAACGGGAAGGAGGCCAAGAGGACAGAGGACTGAGCAGGCGTGGCCAGGGGGTGGGGTGGGAGGGAAGCTTGGTGGCATCAAAGTCAAGGGGTAGGAGAGTGTTTCAACGGTGTCAAAAGCTGCCTTGAGGTCAGGCAGGACTAAAGCAATTTGGCAACATGAGTGTCCCACAACCCAAGCCAGGGCAGTGTCCATGGTGGGTGGGGGGGAGACGCTCTCAGAGGTGAAGAGTGACCAGGAGGCAGGGAGTGTGGGAAGGCAGCACCATCGATGACAATTCGAGAAGATGAGCGGCTGGAAGGGGACTGGGGTGTGTGGCTGTAAAGACGGGCTGTCTTTACAGGGCGTGGTGGGAGTGCTCTGATGGGAACTGGTCCGGAGCATGGGGGGTGGGAGAGCACGGAGGACACGGGCAGGGCTGCAGGACCCCGCAGCTTTCCAGAGCCTCTTTCTTCTGCTGCCCTTCCACTTTCACCCTGGCTTCTGTAGTCACCCCTGTAACAACCACCCCTTTCTCTGATGAGGGAAACTGATCCCCAGAGCGGGGCCCAAGGTTACACTGGGGCTCTGCCCAAGTGGCTCCTTAGGGGGGCGGGGAGCTGGGTGGTTGGCAGGCTGTTTGGAGTCATGGGAAGCCAAGAATGGTGCAGAGGTCATGTGGGCCCCGGACGGGTGTGCACGCCCTTCCCTCCCTGCCAGGCCTGCACTGCCCGGCTCCGGCAATCCCCCACCCTGGGCTGTGTGGCAGGGGACAGCAGACGAGGCCAGGTACCCAGGAAAGATCACTTGTTATGGGGCCCGAGCCTCATACTGTTGGAACAGGGGGTTTGAAGGAAAGAACACAAAAATACAAATACAAATCAGAGCTGGGGACCTTGGAGGGTCTCAAGGTAACGAACTCCACCTGTGGCTGCCCTCGCCTGAAGCAGCTGACATCAGCTCTCAGCACCCACCGTGCAGAGCTGCGAGCACTAAATGAGATAACTGTGCAAAGGGTCGCGGGTGAGCTCTGACAAACTGTGACAGTGGCTACTGCGGACTGGGCTCCCCTGGGGGTGGGGGTGGGGGGCTCTGCCCTCTGTAAGTCCAGGGGCAGAAGCGCTGGGGAGCACAAAAAGGTGGTGGTCACCCACCCCACCTATCCCACCTGCACCCCAGAGCCAGCCTGGCACCAAGTCGGGGCTCTGCAGATGGCCCTGCGCCATAACATCGTCCTGAGGCCCCAGCTTACAGAGTAGGCCCAGGGTGGGGACAGGATAGACGGGAGGGGAACACATCCAGCTGACCCAGATCCCTGACCACTACGTCCAGGTCGGGTGCTCACTCCAGAGGGTCCCTCTTTCTCAGGGCTCCAGTCCGGGACCAAGTGGCAAGACCCCCAGGGCGGGGGAGCTGCCCGAGGTGCAGCACCAAGTCGTGGGCACAGCGACACATGGGCAAGACCTGCAGCGCTCACACCCACCGGGGCCTGGGGAGGAGACACCCCGCCGCCGCCGCGCTGGGGACCCACGACGGGCTCCAGGCCACTCACCGCCACCTCCAGTTTCCTCTGGCGCCACAGCCAACTCTGATCCTTCTGCGTGCTGGTGGCCGAGTCGCCCGGGTCGCCCTCCGAGCGCTTTCCCAAGAAGGCGGGCGCAGAGGCCTGACACGGCTGGCGGGACTGGGCACCGCCCTGCATACATCCCTTTAGGACTCCTCTCCACAAACAAGAGAGCAAAGCCAGAGGCAGGCATGCACGCTGAAGGGCACAGCTTCCATGAGTGTTCCTTTCCTTTGCCTCCGTCACCTCCCGCTGACAACAATCAACCTGCCTGGGGAGAGCAAGCTCTATAAGAAACGTACTTTTTCATCCCCCTTAATTAGCACCTATTGTACACATGGCACTGAGTGCAGGGGTGCAGAGGAGACTTCTGTCCCCTAAAAGCTCATAGTCTAAGAGGAGGTGGGTAATAGGGGGCATGATATAAGGGTCCTGAGAGAGGGCTGATTGGACTGCAGAAATCTCAGCTGGCTTCCTGGAGGAGGTGGTCTCTTAAAATAAGCAACATTTATTCTTAGAGAGTGGTGAAGGGTGCTTATTGGCCTGGAAAGATGTTCAGGTTACATGAAAGAAGCAGTTTACAGAACAGTTCACACAGTGTGATTGTTCTAAGTAAAAGATGCAAGTGCACATAAATGCCCCGGGGGAAGGGGGATAGGAAGGACATACTCCAAAATGCTAACCACGGTTACATATGGATTGCAGAATTAGAGGGGATTTTTCTTTTCCTCTATGTACAGTTATGCAGTAAATTTTCTACAGTGAATATACATTAATTCTGTACACAGAAAAGCACAATACAAGGAACTAAGTGGAAAAATTTTGTTAACATTTCATCAACTGGTTGGGATGAACAGAGGAGGAAGAAGCTGCAAAGCCCACATGTGCAGGACCTGAATGCTAGGAAACACCTCCACTCACTGGTCTCAGATCTCCACCAAGTCCAGGATAGCCAAGTTGGGGACAGAGCTGGGGACAATCCCAGATGCAGAAACTGAGTCTCAACGAGGCCATGTGGCTTGGCCAAGTTCACATGCTGGTCTGGGTTGAGCTGAGAGGAGGCCCTAGATGCCCTTGCCCCCTTCCCTCCCGCATGCCAATCTAACTGGTACTAATTCAGATCAATACCCTCTCCCCCTCCCCACCCTGCTCTTTGCGAATTTCCTTGACTGGACTCCCCAGCAGGGCAGCACCCTCTTACCAGTGGGGGAGGAACACGGTTCTTAGGGGTGTAGTCCACAGGGAGGATGGAAAAGGGGAGCTGAGGGCCGGGGTGGGAGTGGGGAGGGCAAGAATGAAGAGAGCCAGGAGTAGGCTGGGAAGGGGGCTGGGCCGGGGTCTCCTGGGGAGGGAAGTCAGTGTGGCCAAGACTGGAGCTGAGGAAGCACAGCCTCCTGCAAGCCTCAAAACCCTGATCCTCTGGCTCTGAAACAGCAGAGGAGATAGTCAGAATGATTAGGGTCGAAACAGACTTGGACTCCAATCCAGCTTAGCTGTTTAGCACCAGCTTGACCCCGGGCAAGTGTTTTAAGCAATCCAGCCCTCAGTTTTCTCATCGGTAAAACGGGAATCATTGTACCTATAGAATACAGTGTGAAAGGAGCTCCTTAGAGCTGTGCATAAGGCATGTGTCCAAAGCGCTCAGCACTATGCCTGGCACAAAGGTAACAGCTGGCTTTCAACATGTTTTTCCATCTATGAAATGGACACGGGTTTGGCTCAGCCCTCCCCTCACCCCCAATTCCCAGGTGTCTGGAGGTTCTGCCAGTAGCCATAGAAGGAAAGGCTCTGAGGGTGAATGGTGGGTGAGAATGGATTCAAACTGCTTCCACTGAGTTATCTGCTTCATGAAAACTCTTCCTGCCCCACTGGGTCTCTGGTTAATCATATTAGCTCTCCAGGGCTTCCCTGCATACCCAGCCAGGTATGTGCATCTCCCTTCAAGCTGCCTTTGAAGTCTGGGGTTCTTTGATGTGAATGGGGGATGCACCAGCCTGGGATCCCTCTAGCCCTGAGGTCAATGACTAACAGGGCACAGGGCTTGCACCCGGGTGGGGGTGGGAGAGTTGGAAATACAAGTCCCCCGAGTGACTTACCCCACGTGCAGGCTTTGGAGTCAGACTGCCTGGCCCCAAATCCCAGCCCTGCTATCAATTAACTGCATGACCTTGGGCAAGTTGCCCAGCCTCTCCGAGCCTCAGACTCCTCAGCTGTAGAAAGAAGCCAGCAGAAGCATCTACCTTGTGTGTCTGTGGAAAGACAGAAGAGAGGGAAGAAAAGAGAAAGAGATGATGCTGTGTTTTCCATCTTACCTGACAAGGCTGTCTAGAAGGGCAGGGATTCCTGGGTCCCATTCCAGGCCTACTGAGCCCATAGACCTATGAGACTTTGGTGTCCTTAAAGTTTAGTGCATTCTTAAGCTGTAGTAGAAGTACAGAAGAATATACTCTTTATTAGAATATACTTAATATTTAGTCGAATATACTTAATATGCTATTAAGTATAGTTCTATTTCAGAAGTATAAATGCTACAAACTTACAAAGAACACAAAGTTTATCTAAATTTCTTTTGTTAAACGGTAAGAAATTTGGGAAAATAAAAAAAATAAAAAATATAAATAATAAATTTCTTTTGTTTATTTAGTTATATGAATTTTTGACAGTAATTCTTATATTTTAAAAGTTTATTGTATTTATGTTCATTTTTACAGCTTTAGTAAAGTATAACTGACACACAACAGCTGCAAAGAAAGTGTGCATTTTGGTAAGCTTTGACACATGTATACAACTGCCGCTACAATCAAGATAATGAACATAGGGCTTCCCTGGTGGAGCAGTGGTTGAGAGTCCGCCTGCCGATGCAGGGGACGCGGGTTCGTGCCCCGGTCCGGGAGGATCCCATATGCCGCGGAGCGGCTGGGCCCGTGAGCCATGGCCACTGAGCCTGCGTGTCCGGAGCCTGTGCTCCGCAATGGGAGAGGCCACACACAAAAAAAAAAAAAAAAAAAAAAAGATAATGAACATATTTGGGCTTCCCTGGTGGCGCAGTGGTTGAGAGTCCGCCTGCTGATGCAGGGGACACGGCTTCGTGCCCCGGTCTGGTAGGATCCCACGTGCCGCGGAGCGGCTGGGCCCGTGAGCCATGGCCGCTGAGCCTGCGCGTCCGGAGCCTGTGCTCCGCAACGGGAGAGGCCACAACAGTGAGAGGCCCGCGTACCGCAAAAAAAAAAAAAAGATAATGAACATATTTATCACCCCCCAAATTCTCCTGCTGAATCCTCCCTCTCCCCTCTCCTCCCAGACAACCACTGATCCACATTCTGCAACTGATCTGCTTGTCTGCAAACATTAGTTTGCATTTTCTAGAATTTTATATGATTGGAATCATAGAGTATATACTGTCTTTTGTCTGCTTGTTTATCTCAGCATCATTATTTAAGATTCATCCTTGCTATATTTATCAATAGTGCATTCCTTTTTATTGTCAGGTAGTACTCCAACGTACAGATATATGCCATTATTTGTTTATACAATCATCCACTGTTTTGAATTTTGCATAATGAAATTTTAATTTTAATGTTTTTTAAAAATAGCAAATGTTTACTAAAACAAAAAATTTTAATTAAAAATGTATTATTAAAAATTCACAAAACTAGGGACTTCCCTGGTGGCGCAGTGGTTAAGAATCCGCCTGCCAATGCAGGGGACACGGGTTCGAGCCCTTGTCCAGAAAGATCCCACATGTCATGGAGCAACTAAGCCCATGCACCACAACTACTGAGCCTGCACTCTAGAGCCCATGAGCCACAACTACTGAAGCCTATGTGCCTAGAGCCCATGCTCCACAACAAAAGAAGCCACCGCAGTGAGAAGATTGCACACCGCAATGAAGAGTAGCCCCTGCTGGCCGCAACTAGAGAAAGACAGTGCACAGCAATGAAATCCCAACGCAGCCAAAAATTAATTAATTAATTATTTTAAATTCACAAAACTAAATAGGTGTAAAAGGAATTTAAAAAATTAAACTATCAAAGGATGGTTTTTGTAAGTTTCTATCATTTATATTTTTGAGGCTATTAGAGCTTAAAAGAGCACTAAAAATAGTACACTATGACTTTTGGGACTCCCTTTACTTTTAATAAGTGCCCCAGGGGATTATTGTGGTCAAGCAGTTTGGGGAGACACTGAGCTAATAGTGCACATAAACCTCTTAGCATAGTCAGTGCCTGGTCCACTGTAAGCGCTCCCCAAGCACTCCTTACCCCCACAGGAAGCACTCCCCTAAGGGTTTGTTCTTAGTAGTGATTCTTTTCCTTGCCCTCCACACACACACACACACACACACACAGCACGCATGCGTGCACGCATGTACACAGGCACAGAGCTTTCTCCCAGTCCCAGACTCAGCTGGGTCATCAAACTCCCCCTCAACTCCAGGACTGGTGACTCTCTGTGGAAGGGAAATGGTGGGGGTGTGGGAAGGCGAAGGCAGGGGTGGCAGGCTGCGCTGCGGGAATCTCTGAGAAGCTTCTGGGTGGGAAGAGAGGGACCCTCCTGGTGGTCTCTCTGTTTGTTTCCCAGGGCAGGCTGAGCCTTCACCTCCTGACCCTGTGGGAAGCACAAGTCGAGCCTCGGCTCCACCCAGGAGGGGCTGGGACGAGAGTCTGGCCATGGGAGCTGGAGGGAGCAAGAGATTTAGAGTCAGACAGGCCTGGCCCTTACCAGTTCTACCGTCTCGGGCCAGTCGCTCTCTGGGAGGGAGAGACCAGCCCTGCTCAGGTCCCTCAGCTCCTGCAAGGATCAGGGGAGAGGATGGAGGCGAGAGGGCAGCATGAGCGATGCACGCAGAAGGTGCAATAACGTGAATCTTGTTCACGAGGAGCCACAAGGGCCAGGAAGGCATTTCCTTGCTGGTGTCAAGACATCCGCAAGCCAAAGCAGGTGTACCGAGCGCTTACTGGCACCTACTATGTATCCCACATGTGCGCAGGAGAGTGAAGAACTTGAAACCGGAGGAAGCTGGTGACCTGCGGGGCTCATACCCTTTTGGTGGCCACTGGAGGAGAAGGGACTCCCCTATCCCCGCCTTCTTACCTCTGTGCCCCCCAGTCCAGGGACTGGGTTAAATGTATTCCTTCAACATATACGTACTGAGTCCTAGAATTGAGAACTGTGCTAAGCAATGGGGGTTCAGTGGTGAACTGAACAGACAGGAGTCTGGCTGACAGCCCAGTGCTGGGGAAGGGGAACAGACAAAAAATAAACAAACAGTACCAAAGTAAACAACTTAATTTCCAACCAGGGAAGTGCTGTGGAGGAAATGAACAGGGTGACCTGATGGAGGGCAGGAGGTCCATTTAGGCAGGGGAAAGGCCCCTCGTGTAAGGGAGGTAATAAACGACCATGTGGGGACATGGCAATATCCAGTCTGGCTTCCAGAGTCAGAATGACTGAGTATCCATCGCAGCCTTACCGTTTGCAAGCATTCCATCCTGGACAAGGGGCTTAACTCCACAGAGCCTCAGTTTTCACACCTGTAAAATGGAAGTAAATATCCAGTCTGCTTCATGGGAGTGATAGGAAGGGTAACTTAGATAATTCAAGCACATTATGGTAAGTACTTATTAATAACTGACTTTTTAAATTTTATTTTTATTTATTTATTTTTAACTGGGTTGGGTCTGCGCACAGGCTTTCTTTAGTTGAGGTGAGTGGGGGCTACTCTTCGTTGTGGTGCATGGGCTTCTCACTGCAGTGGCTTCTCTGCACGGCCTCTAGGCGCACGGGCTTCAGTAGTTGTGGCTCGTGGGCTTAGTTGCTTCACGGCATGTGGGATCTTCCCAGACCAGGGCTGGAACCTGTGTCCCCTGAATTGGCAGGCAGATTCTTAACCACTGCATCACCAAGGAAGCCCAATAAGTGACTTGAACTATTTATTTATTTAGGCTGTGCTGGGTCTTAGTTGCAGCACATGGGATCTTCTTTTTAGTTGTGGCATGAGGACTCTTAGCTGTGGCATGCATGCGGGATCTAGTTCTCTGACCAGGGATCGATCCCAGGTCCCCTGCATCAGGAGCGCAGAGTCTTACCCACTGGACCACCAGGGAACTCCCATGGTAAGTTCTTATTAAATAATAGATTATTTCTATTTCATCCAGCCTGGGCCAGGTACCCACAATCCATGGGTTAGTTGGAGAAGGACAACGGGGTGGGCTAATCTCGAGCCTGCACTTCCAAACTGATTCCGGAGTGTCTTACTCTCATCCAATATACAGCAAGTGTCTCAAACTCATTTGTCTTTAGGGCCAGGCACATGGGTGCAGTAAGTTAAGGAGTGGTGGGGACTGTGCCGCTCCTTAGAGAACAGACCCTGCCTAAAGGAAGCAGATCCTATTCGGCTTAAGGGAATGCTCGCTTTGTTAAAATGAGGGCCTAGCCCTTTCCATTTCTTAAATGATGAAAACAAACTATTTTCTGCAAAATCTTATGAACTTTCAGTATTGGTGATTTAAATAAAAACCTTTCAAAACGCTGTTGGGAGCAGACAAAGCACTGTGGATCAGTCAAGGTGGTCTGCAGGCAGATTTGCAAGCTCTACCTACCAAGGCCAGGCCCTTTGCTGAACACTGCGGAATACAGAGCCAGCCAGCAACAGGCTCCTGGTGGAAAACTCCTAGGGGCTCCAGGGACCAGAGCCTGAAGGGGGAAGGAGACCACGTGGAAGAGGAGACCCTTGAGCTGGATTCTGTGGGATAAATAGGTGTATTTTGTGTGAATGAAGAGGAGGTAAAAATCATTCTGGGCAGAGCCAGAACAGCTCTGAACTTTGCAGCAGGTGGGTGTTTCCATGGGGCCAGAGTGCTTTTGGGGTACAAGGGGATTGTAGTGGAAGGCTGAGGTCTCTATCTCCAGATCACAGAGAGAGCCACGTGTGCCCGGTAGAGGCACCTAGATGGGCCCTCCAAGACCAGCAGTGAGGGGTACAGGAAGGGCACCAAGTACTGGAGGTGGAAGCCAGAAGCCTGTGCTTAGTCCCGCCTCTGCCATTTGCGGGACTGCATCAAGCTGAGGAATCAGAGCAAGCAATGGTCAGCTAGGAAGCGGGGGCTGGGGCTTCGGAGACAGGAGTCGTCCGCACTTCCAGGGAGCTCACAGTCTGACGGCAGTTACTCATGAGGGCTGGGACAACTGCTCCTCGGCACTCTGCTTAGAAGAGGACTCTGCCAAATTGCTAGGGAGCTAGTGACAGGTTTGTAGAGGAAGCGGCAGTGTTTAAGCTGTGTCTTGATAGGTGAGAAGGAGTTTTCCAGGGAGATTAAGAGGAAACAGCAGGAGGCTGCATGGAGAAGCAGCATGTGAAAGGCAGAGGTGTGCTGGGAACCTGTTCAGGAATATGGACCTCATTCAATCACCTGACAAATCCTTACTGAGTTCCTGTGTGCCAGGAGCTGTGCCAGGCGTGGGAGGAGCATGATAAAGCAGACGCCCTCCACCTTCAAAATAATGATGCTATTTAATTCCTCTGTTCCTCAGTTTCCCCATCTCTAAAATGCCTTTCATACCTTACAGAGCTTCAGGGAGGGATGAACAGGATTACATAGGCTTCTATAGGCTAACATATATGCGAAGACAGCCAGTGTCACACTGGCATATAGGAAATGCTCATTAAATATGTGCGGAACTGAAATGCCTTCCTGCCCTGACTTCCTGAGAATCTAGCACTTGCCGGTAACCTGCCTTAGACTCCTAGATAAGCAGGTTTGTTTGATGAATGAATAAACAAATGACCAAGCACTACTTTACACACATTTACTGCTTACAGCATTCTTGTCAAGTAGATACTATTCTTTTCTTTTTTTTTTTTTGCGGTACGCGGGCCTCTCACTGCTGTGGCCTCTCCCGTTGCGGAGCACAGGCTCCGGACGCGCAGGCCCAGCGGCCATGGCCCACGGGCCCAGCCGCTCCGCGCCATGTGGGATCTTCCCGGACCGGGGCACGAACCCGTGTCCCCTGCATCGGCAGGCGGACTCTCAACCACTGCGCCACCAGGGAAGCCCGATACTATTCTTTATCTCCATTTTACAGCTGAGGGAGCAAATGCTTCAAGATGGTAAGTGATCTAATATGCCCAGGTATCGACAGAGAAGGATCCAGAGTCTGCCTTCCGGCAGCCTGACCTCAGAGCCCCAGCACTTAACCCTGCATATCGCTGCTCACGTGGAGGACGGGTCCAGATCGGCCCAATGGAAAGCATTCGAGAACTTCGAGGGACTTTGCTCCCCACTCGCCAGCCAGCTGGGTTGGCCCTGAAAGGTTATCTCCCAGGTCAGGTAATCCGACGGTCAGTCTGTCTGGGGCAGGGGAAGCGAGAAGGTGTCATTCCCCTCCTGGGAAGAGGCACTTCTGGTCCTTCTTGCGGGAAACAGATCCTGTATGAACAACTACCTTTTAAAAATGAGAAGAATGACTATTAGCCTCTGTCCTGAAGAGTGCCACAGCTGGAGAAAGTTCAGTGATGAATGGGCTTTGACAGAGTCCCTCTTGCTGGTCAGAGAGCAGGTCCCCACAGGGCTTTGGGCCAATACACATCAGAAATGAGTTGTGTCTGCTGCTCCCGGACCCTGGGAAAAGCAAGACTTTGAGAGTTGTTTTTTTTTTTAAGTCTTAGGACAAGGCCCATGTCGATCCTCTCATCTATGGGGAAGCCACAAGGCTATAGGCATGGGTTTGGGTAACAAGCAGTATCCTTCACATACTGGCTGTTTTCACTTGTAAATGTGTGGCCTTGAGCAAGTTACCAGGTTCCCTCTGAGCCTCTGTTTTCTCATCCCCGAAGTGGGGATGATAATAAAATCAATGCAGTGATTACCAGAATGCCTACTGCATTAGGTGCTCAATAAGCGTTAGCTACTGTTATTATGTCATTTTAATTGCAATATTTACTGAGCTCCTACTATATGCCACATAGTACAGGGACACAGAATGAATAAAGCTTAATTTCAAGAAGCTTCTGGTCCAGCACGGAAAGGAGATCATCTGTTTTGTTCCTTCCCCAATCCTGGTGGATAAGACTACTACGTTCTGAATGCCCCTGTTTAAACAGGGACCCCCTGGATTCTAGGACATGTAGGTTTGGGGGAAGGCTGACCCCTATACCTCTGTCTGACCACAATCTCTCATTGTTTTTTACTTATATATTCATAACCTGGGTGAGGGCACCTTCTGCCTCTGGGGAGGGGTCTGATGCAGAGGGCCGGGACTGACAAGCCCCAGGCTGCAAGCCCCCAGGCTAGGGAAGTTGAATGACAACCACGGAGCACCCATAATAATCTGTATGCTTAAGGCTTTACAAAAACAGCAGGTTTTAAGCGCTTGCAAAGCATTTTAGCATTTGTTTTATTTAATCTTCATGGAAGGAAGTATCTCCAGTCCTGGTTTACAGATGAGGAAACTGAATGCAGAGAGGTGGGTTCCAAACTGCAACTAGACCCTAGCTCACCCAGGTTCTCAAAGTTGTCTGATAAGAATCACAGGGGTACTGGTTAAATATGTAGATTACCAAGGTCTCTCTCCAAATTCGAATGCTAAAGGCCTGGATTGGGACTCAGGAATCAGTAGTTTAACATACACCCCAGGTGATACTTATCTTCAGGCAAGTCCAGACACAGTACCATTCATTGATTAATTTACTCAGCTAAGATATTTTGGGTCCCAACCATGATATGTACTGGAGGGAGAGCACGATGAACAAGACAGTCCCCAGCTTTAGAAGGAACTAACAGTCGTCTGGCTGAGCATATTGTCCCGGTCCCGTGGTCAGCACAGGTCTACAACCCACATCTCTCCTAGGCAAGGCCCCTTCCTGCTGGCTGGGCCGGCTTCCACCTGGACACGGGTTTGGCGCTCCTAGCTGAGCCTGCTGGGCCTCCTTCCACTAACACCTGCTCAGGGCTGAGCGTGTGGTTCTTTGGAGCTGGAGGCATCCTGTGGAAGAAGCCTAGGTGTGAGGGGCACATAGTGTTTCGGTAAATGCTGGCCAGCTGCTAATGTGCATGTCAGGGCTAGGAAAGGACCAGGGGGCGAGGGCGGGGGCATAAAGAGCCCTCCAGTGTTGCAGAAAATAGCTGGGGCCTGAACAAGGGGCAGAGATTTACATTTCTTTAAAGGTAATTTCAGCTTCAACCTGACTTTGCACCTGAAGAGAGCCCAGACAAGGACCACTCTTGTGTAGGTGAGGAAAGCAGGGCCCACAGAGAGGAAAGTGAGAGGTCCTGAGCTGAAACCCAGGTCTCCAGGGTAACTGCCAGGGGAGGCAGGGACTGCAGGACATGGATGACACAGGCAACACCTTTTTCCTGAAACCCCTGGGGTGATGTGAACCTGTGAAGGAAGACCCTGATACCACCACAGGCGCTCCACTCACCCCGTTAGCTATGCCCTGGGCTCCAGCTTCTGATCACTTTCTTTTCCAGTGGAGAAGTCTGTCATTCATCCTGGTCACTCCTGTCCTCTGTTTTCTCCAGGAGAGAGCTTCAATATTTGAAGCAGGTCCCCATGGACCTTTGTCTGGCACTCATCTTTTTCGTTCCAGCAATTCCCAGTACCCAGTATTTTTTCAGAGGCTAGCTCTCCAGACAGGCCCTGCCGTATAAGGCAGGGGTTGCTCCCAGAGGCCATCTGTACAGTGCCCTGGAAGGCTGCACGGTGCCAGGCTGGGCTGAAGCCTCCCCGGCCAGTGTGGAGCTGCACCCTGCCCGAGAGCCTCCAGGAGACACAGCTTTCATTCTCTATCTGTTCCTGGTTGAGCCAGACATCTATTTGGAACCTGGAGGAAGAGGAAAGGGCAGGGACCCCAGGTGGGGGAGAGTAAGGAAGCCATCCTTCTGACCTGGGAGTTTGCCTGCGACAAGCCAGCTGTGTCTTGGAAAAAAAGCCTGGAGTAGCAGAGTGCCAGGGTGTCCAGACTGGGCAAACTAGACGGTCCCTGGACCTAACAGCTCCTCCAGTTTTTCAGGTCTCCTCCCTACCAGGCTCAGGTCTCACTCGCCCCCAGCAGGTGGTCCCTCTGGGGGCCACCCCCGGTGACGGGGGCTGGGCTGGGGGGTGTTATCCGACCTGAAAGCTTCCCCTAGGGAGGAAGGGCAGGGGCGGGGCGCCCGCGAAGGCCCAGGATATAAGGGACGGAGGCTGGCCTTGGGCCCCGCCACCCCACCATGCACGCGCACAGCCTGCTGTTGTTCCTTCTGCAAGTCTGGTGGGCTCTCCTCCAGGCGGGCGCCACGATGGTAGCCCCGGTGCCCCTTCGAACGTGGGGGCAGCCCTCGTCGCCATCCCCTCTTGCTTATATGCTGAGCCTGTACCGCGAGCCGCTGCTCCGGGCGGACATCATACGTAGCCTGCAGGCGCAAGGTAGGCTGCCCCGCCCCGCCCCGCCCCGCTCGGCTGGACCCCCGGCGCGCCTTGGGCGCTCCCGCGCGGGACTCCAGGAGAGGGCTGGAGGGGCAGGGGCTGCGGCACCATGCCGGAGACGTGCCACTGAAAACGTATCCGCACGCTTGAAGGGCACGTTCAGGGGCTGGGGCTGACGGTGTCTCGGCGTCTGCCTTGGCTCGGGAGACAGGGTTGGTGGCACCCGGCGTGTGTCCCGGACTGAGACCTCTGCGTTCCGGTCTTGTTTAGGGTGGGTAAAGCGCGGGACTATAGGGTGGAAGACTGATTGTGCCACTGCTTATCTGTGCCGTCTTAAACTACTGTAATCTCCGGGCGCCTCGGTTTGCACATCTGTAGCATAGGGATAATAGTGCCTCCCTTATTGGACTGGCGAGGGCTACGGACAACGCACATAGAACGCTTAGCACAAAACCAGGCATAGTAATGTATGGTCGTTATTATTGCTACAATTATTTTGTCTTGTCAAAAAAAAATTTTTTTTTCCTTTTCGCGAGTGAGGGTGAAGGCGTTCCGGGGTCTGGCGTTGGGAGTGTCTCTGGCTGAGACTGAGGTTCGAAATAGGGTGTCAAGCATGTAACATCAGGGATTAGGTTTCAGAAATTATGGATTAGAGATGAAATGCCCCGAAGTCGAGAACTGCGGCAGGCTTGGGTCATCCAGCCCAGGCTGGGTAGGTGTCAGTGTCCCGGACGACACCGGGCTCGGGGCCTAGATTTGGAGCGGGCGAGGTCCCTCCCATGGTGACCTTGAGAGTATCAGCCGCGAGGATGGGGCAGCGTGCGTTCTGGGCACTGGGCGCAGGTAGATGTTGAGAAAAGGGAGCCCTTCCCGCGGGGCTCCTCTACTCCCGGCAATCCACATCCCAGCGCCCGGGGTGGCCCCTGCCTGCCTGCACCTCTCTCTGCCTGCCGGGGCCAGACGGCCCTCCCCGGAGTTCGGGCGAAATCCACATCCGATAATCTGATTTGACGGCCACCCGCTGGCCCCTTGTGATCTGGGGGTGGGGGCTCCTAGCTCCCTGGCCAGCCGCGTCTGGGGTCAGACGGCCAGTGACCGTCTCCGGAAGGGTCATATGGGGACTAGTCAGACTAGGGACACACGGGGGGCGGAGCAATTTGAAAATTACTGGGGTGCTCTGCCCTGCCAGAAAGTTGGGGTTGGGGGGTAGGTGGATAAGCAAAGAGTGGGAGGCGCACTTTTCCAATTCACTCCCTCCTTCCAGAGAGTTCTGGAAGGTTTGTGGTGATTTGACAGTCTTGGAAACTGGGTCTGGTCCCTCAAACCCTGCTTCCCAATTCCCCATGTGTCCCTGGCACATCTGCTGACTTTTCTAGTCTCCTCCCCGTCTGTAAAAATTAAGTGCCCGGCTTTCTTTCTACCTCATTTGTGTGAGTGTGGTACCTTTCCATCTCAGGTTTATTTGTAAGCTGCACGGGATAAGGGGAAATGGGTGTTGGAATCTAACCAAATCAGGTGTGCATCCGTGTCTTGTGTCTTTCACTGTTTAACCATCTTCACCTTGGACCTTAGTTTCTTCATCTGCAAAATGGTGATAAAGGTAGGAAGGATTTAAGGAGACAAGGCTTATAAAACACTTGGCATGAGGGAAGCAGTTAATGGTAATCACCCTCATAATTTATAATAATGTAGGGTGGGAACTCGGTGTCATACTCAGCCTCTTTTTCTACAGAGTCCGTGACTCTAACTCAACACCCTGTTTGAGGGGCAAGGAACCCAAGATCATGAGCCCTTCCTTCTTTAGAATTGGAAGTGGGTCGAGATTTCACTGGGGCCCGTGTGGCCAAGTCTGCATTCAGTCTGTGGATGGGTTTCAGGATGTCCATGAACCCCTTTCTTATAACCACCCCCAAATCACATTTATTGTGTTAGTAGGAAATGCAGTTTTTCTGGGGAGAGCATTCTTGGCTTTTATCAGGCATTGGTGACCCTCAAAGATTAGACCTCCCCATTATTCTAAGATAAACCAGAGCCAGATCTAAGAAAACCTTTTAGCACTGTGTCCTGGGGAGCCCTTGGCTGCAGGTAGGCTAGTGGGGTCTCAGACTCTTCCAGCAGGAAGGAGTATCCTCCTCCCTGCCCCTGCATCCACACAGCCATCCCAGCAGCAGATGACTTTGTTCCCCTGTCCAGGTCCCTCACTGCCTGGACATCTGCATTTCTAACTTTGACTTGGGTAATAATAAGGAGGCAGTTGATGATGGCCGTTTATTGCACTTTGGTGGTTGTGCTGGGCAAAGCACTTTACACACATTATCTCAGTAAATCTCAACACCCCTGTGAGGTGGATACTGTTACCATCTCCCTTTTACCCAGAGGGAAACTGAGGCCCAGAGAAAGCTGGCTGCCCAGTGTGGCAGCAAGTGGCAGAACTTGATCCATCACCAGAGACACCGGGTCCCTCCTCTTAAACACTGAGCTGGAATGCCTTTAAAAAGCCATTTGTGGATACTTGAGATAGTGTGTTTTAAGTCCTGGTGTAGGCGGAGCTGTAGCAGAGTTGCTACATGTCACGGGGTGGTGCTGCGAAGGGCAGTGGGTGGTGTCAGCCTCCTCCCCACACCTCTGGGGAGTTGCTAGTCAGGGGCCGGTTATTGCCTCCTGCAGGTGCTAATGAGAAGGGAAGTGGAAATTAAGTGAAAAAGAACATCTAGGGATGGGCTGGGAGAAGCTTCAGGATGCTGAAGCTGGGAATTACCCCCTTCTAATGCAAGCTGGACTTCCCAGAGAAATCCACTGACTATCTGACCAAAGATGTTCTATGAGACAAAGAACCAAAGGGTTACTGTTTTTATTTCTAATGAATAACCTCTGCCTTTTATTTAGCAATAGACCTTGGAACATCTTCATTTCCCTGGGTCCTCATGACAATGCAGGGAAGGGTAGGGCATTACTATTCCCACTGCAAAGATGAAACTGGGCTTGAAAAAAGTTAAAGATCACTTTTAGCTGACCTGAAACATCCACCAATATGTGCTATTCCCAGACATCAGACCACATTAGTCCAGAACTAAAATGAATGGAATGTGCTTCCCCATTCCTTTTCATTCAGGATGGGTTTAATTGTCTTGGGTGTGTGCTTGCTGTGTCTGCCCTGGTGTGTGGATGACCTGGAGTGGGAAAGGGTGAGCGCCCTGCAGGTAGGTAGGAGAGACTACTGGGTGGAAAAGTGCAAGGTCAGCGCACAGTCAAGCTTAGGATGTCTTTAGAAACCTATTTGTAAGGTTGCCAAGAACTCTTGAAGTGTCTGCCTCTGTCTTTAGGAATTGGTGGGGGAAAGGGTGACCAGTCTTTGGCTTCCGTTGCCTATGCCTCCCTGGGAGCTCCAACCCTTATGATCTGTGAATCGACCTCATTGTGCTGTAAAACAGGCCACCCTTTCCAATGAGAAGACAAAGCCTAGCAAACGGGCCACAGGGTGGGTGGAAGTCCAGGATTTCTGTCAGAAAGCTCAGGGCTTGTCCTTAGATTGCATGTGTGAGGGGAGAAGGGAGAAGGAGATGCACTCATCCAATTTTTACCAATTGTTCTCTGGAGTGTCTTGAGGGGGGAGCAGCAGCACAGCGATTTGGAGGTTGGGCTTTGCAGTTGGGCTTATTCTTGGCTTTGCCACCTTCCAAGAATGACACCTCACGCAGGTAATTTAACTTCTCTGAGCCTCAATTTTCCTCATTTCTAAAATGGGTTCAATAACATGCCCAGCTCATAGGGTTAGGGTGACGATTCATATAAGGTAAGGGCTCAGTCATGAGCTATGGTGGTTGTTACACCAACTGAGGCTGCAGGAGGCCCCCACTCACCTGCTTCCTTCTGTTTTTTTCTCACCCAGATGTGGAGGTGGACGGGCAGAACTGGACCTTTGCTTTCGACTTCTCCTTCCTGGGCCAAGAAGAGGATCTGGCATGGGCCGAGCTCCGGCTGCAGCTGTCCAGCCCTGTGGCCCTTACTCCTGATGTCCCACTCTCAATTGAGATTTTCCACCAGCCAAAGCTGAATGAGGATAAGGACCCACCCAACTGCCCAGAACGTCTTCGAATGGACCTGTTCACTGTCACTCTGTCCCAGGTTACCTTTTCCTCAGGCAGCATGGTCCTAGAGGTGACCAGGCCACTCTCCAAGTGGCTGAAGCACCCTGGGGAGCTGAGGGAGCAGATGTCCAGTTTGGCTGGAGAGTGCTGGCGGCGGCCCCCCACATCACCTGTCACCAATGTGCTCCTCATGCTCTATTCCAACCTCTCCCTGGAGCGGAAGCGGCTGGGTGGCTCCACCCTATTGTGGGAAGCTGAGAGCTCCTGGCGGGTCCAGGAGGGACAGCTCTCCCGGGAGAGGGCCAGGAGGCACCGTCGATATCACTTGCAGGACAGAAACCAACTGTGTCGGAAGGTCAAGTTCCAGGTGGACTTCAACCTGATCGGATGGGGCTCCTGGATCATCTACCCCAAGCAGTACAATGCCTATCGCTGTGAGGGCGAGTGTCCTAACCCCGTGGGGGAAGAGTTCCATCCAACCAACCACGCATACATCCAGGTGTGATGCCAAGGCCTGGGGAGGGGAGGTGGTAAGCTGTGGGGGAGAATTGTCCTTACTACCAGATCAGGACACTGGCTTTGCTGTTAGGTTAGTGTGTTCATTCATGCACAGTTATTTGAGCACCTACAATGTGCCAGGTTCTGTGACAGGTGTTAAGGATATAGAGATGACCAATGATAACACCCTCAGAGAGCCTACATGGAGTCATGCCTTGTCAGGTGACCCTGAACACACTGCTTTCCTGGTACTTTTTCCTTCTGTCATAAAATTAGGGGTGGAAAAAAAATAAATAAATAAAATAAATTAAAAAAAATTAGGGGTGGAGTGTGTAGACTGGAGGGTCTCAGTTCCTCCCACTGCCCTGACATTCTAGGAAAGGAAGTTCAGAATTTGGAGTTTGGGAATAGACAGGCCTGGGTTTGAATCCTACTCATTAGCTATGTGATATTGATCAAGTTGCTTACTCTCTCTGAGCCTCAGTCTCCTCATCTGTAAAATGGGGATAGCAATGCCTTACTTCTAGGGTTACATGAGATGATATGCATACCACATGTGTAGTATCAATAGTTAGCAGGTAACAGGTATAATGTTGTCTTACCATTACTAGAAGTCTGTAACTCATTAATGCAGTGGGGGCCGCGTTTATGAGGCCAAGGTAGAGATATTACTGTTCCAGCCACTGTACTTCTGCTGCCTAAAAACAGGAGTTGGACACTCATTTTGCAGAAGTAATAAAGCCAAAGGCTACCACCAGGTGCCACTAATCAGCCTATGGTCTAGAAGGTGGTGGAGGGAGAGGAATGGAAGGAAAATGAGGTGGAGAAAGCAGAGAAGAGAGCTTATATATGGTGGTCCTGACCTGCTCTCAAAGGTCACACGGGATCAAAGTGTTTTTATTTTCACTCTATGAGGCCTAGACTGAGAATCTCTTGGACCTGTAGTACATCCTCCATGCCAAGCCTCAGGCAGGGTCCAGAGGCTCTGGGGAGAATGTGAGCTGAGCTCGTGAGAGGGAGGCAGTGGTGGGGGCTGGTATCCTAGAGGAACTGTCCTGGGCACAGGCCCTCCTGAGTCTCTCCCAGGCCCCACTTCTGTCCACCAGCCTACCTGCAGCACGATCAGAGGGAACCAGAGACCCAGATAGTCCCAGTCACCAAATCTAACACTGACCCGAAAAGCCACCACTGGACCACAGGGACAGGGCCCAGTTCCAGAATGCCAAGGGCTTGTTACCTTTTCTCCCGTTGACTCTGTTTGCCCTTCTCTGGGAAACAAAGCAAATCCCACAAGAATTTCCGCATGACTCTCTTCTTCATATTTCTGGAACTAAACCAGGAGTTTCTTGGAAGATTTTTAAAGTTGGTATTCACTCTAGACTAGAACAATAGGAGAACATATGTTACCTACTGCTCTACCCAGATACAGCTTTTAGAATCTTCTGTTTAAAGGCTGTTTAAAAAAATTTATTTTAGGGCTTCCCTGGTGGCGTAGTGGTTGAGAGTCTGCCTGCCGATGCAGGAGACACGGGTTAGTGCCCTGGTCTGGGAAGATCCCACATGCCGCGGAGCGGCTGGGCCCGTGAGCCATGGCCGCTGAGCCTGCGCGTCCGGAGCCTTGCTCCGCAACGGGAGAGGCCGCAGCGGTGAGAGGCCCGTGTACCTTTAGATATTAGAGTTGATGATGTATTGGCATTCTGATTCCTTTATGAAAAGAATTTTCTATTTTTGCCCCCAGAAACTGATTTTAACTCTCTGTAACTTTTTCACCCTTTACCCAGAAATGACACCATTCTGACCTCACCACTGGGATGTGAATTGACACCCCTGTCCTCCCTTTCACAGAGTCTGCTGAAACGGTACCAACCCCACCGAGTCCCTTCCACCTGCTGTGCCCCAGTGAAGACCAAGCCCTTGAGTATGCTGTACGTGGACAATGGCCGAGTCCTTCTAGACCATCATAAAGACATGATTGTGGAAGAATGTGGGTGCCTTTGAGGAGCTCCTGCAGGTGTGTTGGATTTGCCTGTACCCTGGAAGGTTGGGAAGCTCCTAGAAGACAAGATAACCATCTAATCCAATGAGGAGAAACAAAGAGGGGGAAAAGTCCCTCTGTCCACCAGACCTAAGGAGGAAGGGCTGCCACCCTGTCCTTGAAGGCTCTGTGGGGTCTGGTTGAGCACAGAGGAGAGGGAGGAGGAAGCCTGTGAAGCAGGCTTGCTGGGTTTTCTCTTTGCTGAACAGACAGTAGCACGTGAAAGCACTAGTGCAAGAGTCCTTTAGCTGACTTTTTTCAACCCATGATCCCCCGGAAATTGTATGCAAGAGCTGGAGCATATGTGCATTTATTTTTGAGGTGGGACAAGGTTGTATTTAACTTTTGTGTATTCTCAAAAGTGGCCTTTGACATACACTCACCCACACCCTTGCCGCCTGAAGATTAAGTATCACTATGTAAAATTAAAAAAGTCCACTGGCTTTGGTTGCCTCAGGCTGGGTCAGGGAGCCCCCGCAGAGTGGATCTCTGCTAATGAGTTGTACATACAATAAAGCCATTGTATAGTTCTCCTAGGCCAGCTGGTGCCTTTGAAGGGCGAGGCAGGAACTCGTCCAAGAGAACTGGCCACGTTGGACTACAGAAGCTGGAGCCCTGGGGCGTCCCCAAGTCAGTCTGCTTTGGCGGGCACAATCCATCCAAGTCTAAAGCTCTCTCGACAGTTCACCTCAGTCTGTCAATGCGTGCTATTGAGGCCCCTGGGCTTCCTATCCATAGCGGTGAAGACACTGCCCTGGGTGGCAGACTTGCGTTATGGTCGCAGCTCAGCCACTGAGAAGCTGTGTGACCTCCGGTGAGTAATTCACTGCTCAACCTCATCTTGTGAAATTAAAGCAGGCGGATCCTAGTGCCTTTCTGTGATTCTTCTTTTCTCTCGCCAGCTGGCCTCATTGAGCACTGCCAAAACAGGGGCTGTACTTTTTTTGTTTGGCAAGGCGAGGGGACCATTTTATTGGGAATGTCAGTCCACAGTAAACTTACCCTGCTTTCCTAAGAAGCCCATAGACTAATGCTCCAACCTTAGGAAAAATGATTCCAATCTATGGGAATACTTGTTTAGAGGGGACTCAAACTTGACTTGGTTGAGTCAAGGTAGTAATCCTGGCCCAGGAAGGGGTTGGCTAGGCTAGAGCCAGGCCTGGGCCTGAGAAACCTCAATGCCCCGATTCAGCAACAAAACTGATCCAGTTGCTCATTCCCTGGAGCGGAAATAACCTGCCCTCCCCACAATTCAGAATCGCAATAGGATTCTGCATTTGACTCTACTTAGGAAACAGTGGAGGTGGGGAGGCCTTGTGAGGTCAATTTTTGTACCATCCTCTTTCCTAAATGAGACCCCAGTGAGGCCTAGCGGCCTGATGCTACAGCTAGGAGTGGCAGGGCCAAGAGCTGAGCTCTGGTCTCTGGAGCCCCAGGGGCACCATCCTTCACACCATCTAGGGGTCTTTGCGCTCTTAGCTTTGGGTCAAGGCCTTAGCCTTTGGAACCAGACATTTGAAACCCCACTTCCACTACCAAACTTAAGTTCTTGGGAGTAAAAATCCTATCCCAGGGCTTTAGAGCATCCTCTCTACTAAATGGGTGCCCAACTGTTCTTCTATGGCTGGGGCCAGGAAAGCGAAAGGTCAAGCTATTTGTGGCTATAGCTTGTGGGAGTGTTTACAGTTAGCAGCTCTACCAACTCACAGAACAAACCCCACTGATGACAGGACACCACCTCATATCAAGCAGAAGACGCAGGCACAAAGGAGTGAAAGGACGTTTTGCTGACCCCTGCTAAAAGCTCACTGTGCAGTGTGTCAGCGGCAGGGGCCTTCTGCTGCCTGGCCAGAGGTATTTGGGGCTGAGCCTACAACACAGCTCCGTGCTCTGGAACCTACCTGCTAGTGCAGGCTTTGTTAAGTCTGAGGAAATGCTGCCTGCGGGAACTGAGTCCTGCCCTACCCTGAGGGCCAGGAAGGGGCTTTCAGTCAGAGGTATTTTAACTTGCTCTGAAGGCAAAGGTCTCCTTCCGCTGTTCCTGTAGCAGTGCCAAGTCAGTAGCCGATTGGGGGAAACTGGATGCATTACTCTCCTTGGCTGGGGAAGTGGGCGGGCCTGGTACAGGGAGGAGTAGAGAAAAGATAAAAGCAGAAACTGGGAAGGGGCTGTGACTCTCACACAGCAACACAGTTGGGTTAATCTCCATCATGTAGTCTCCCCTTTTACTAGCAGTAAAAGCCTTATCCCTCTATCCTAAATTGCCTTTCAAGTCCATACCCTATTTGCCTTTGGGGCAAAGTAAAGGATATATGAAATGGCTTTCAAGATTATCTTCCCTTGAAGAGATTATTTCATCCTTCTAGGGATCACACAAGCCTGCTCCACTCCCAAACTTGCACATTCTGGGGAAGAGCAGACCCAGTTGACCCACCTCTACTGGTCACACCAACTGAGCTGCAATTGAGCTCTTGACATACCAGCCACTGGGCTAAGTGCTTGCCATGATCCCACCTGAGCCCACAGTCACCCAGGTAAGACCTACTTCTTAACTTAACCCTATTTTAGAGAAGGACACCAAAGGTTACAGAGACTGGGAATCCTGTCGGAGAGAATGTGGCTGCTACTAAGTGGTACAGAAGGAATTCAAGCCTGTCTCACTCCAAAGCCTGTGCTCTAAACCTCTATGCTGTTTTGTTCTCTGGACCTGTTTACATGGTCCACAGGATTCTTGAAAGGACAGGATTCTTGCTCTCAATACTAATATGTGAGCCTCACTGGATTAATAATAGCAAGGAATGTGATGCTCACGCAGCAGAGTCTAGTTTATTTTCAGACATCAGATATGATGGATTTCTAACAAGTGCTCCTGAGAGGCAGAGGCAGCCCTCGTCAGGAAAGCTGTTGTCTGGGCTTCCTCCAGGCTGGTACCTAAAGAAGGGCCTTCTTGGGTACATCCAGCCCCAGCATGTACGTGTTCACCTCCAAGCTCCTTAGGGAAGGGACACATCACCTCCTGGCACATACAGGGCCAGATGGACAAAGTGCTCCGTAAATGTTGAGAGGAACTGACACATGAAGTGGCCAACTGCCTTTGCCCATCTTCCTCACCAGGCAAGATGCCCAAAATGTGTCAACAGGATTTCACCTGAAATTTAAAAAAAAAAAAAAATTAAAAACACCAAGGTGATACTCAAGATCTTTATTGATTCAAGTGTAACAGCAACCGTTGGTGAGAATTTAACTTTCCCCCTAATTTCCAAACACTTGCTGGTTTGGAAGGACAGTTAGAAAAACAAGAAACAAAAACCTGATCACGGAGTCACACAGGACTGCCTCAGGACTGCGTGGTGCCCTCTGTTCTCCATCCACGACAGTGAAATGGACAGGCCGGGTAAGGGGATACCCACATTAAGGGAGACGAAGGGAAGACCAAGGAAAGTACTGGCAGTCTCTGTTTTTCCATTCAGAATGGATGGAACTGGGCCACTGGTGGCACAACGACAGGGAAGAACATTTTTTTTTTTAATATATATAAAACATTTTAAAGATGCTTAAAATGGACATCCGAAAAACGTGAGTGTCCTCTGGGCTCTCCAAGACACCCTCTTTAAGGTTCGCCCCTGGGTAGCAGAGGGTCTCCTCACCCAGGTGGCAAGAGATGGGCTCCATCTCCAGGCGAAGGAAAGGCACTGGCTCACAGTCCTCAGTGATTGGAACACACACCAGGAGCAGGATGCCTCACCACACAGCTTGCCCCTCATCTCTCGTGTTACTCCCCTACTCTCCTGGTTTCAAGTAAAAATGACCCTTGGCCTGGGCTTGGGTTTTTTGTTTTGTTTTAAAGATTAAGATGGAGACGAAGGGGGTACATTGGGGCAAGAATGGATATTCTGTGCTAGATTCATGCAATCTCAGGTGTTCAGGAATTTGGGGTTTAAGCACCGGCAAGAGCTCCCTTTGGAAATTTCAACGTGGCCAAATGATTATCAAGCACTGCAGCATCTCTCTGCCAGCCTCCCACTCTTAGAAAGGTGGCAGAGAGAGAGTTTAAATACCCCAGGAATGTGTTTCATCTCAGTACTATTTTCCATTGGGGATCCAGACAGTATGGTCTGCCAGGGCTGCAGGCAGAGGAAGCAAAGAGAAACCACAGATCATCTGAACAGGGACTTGAAATACTTCTCCTAAATCTAAGCTTTGCCAAAAGGTGTCAACTTCCAGGACCAGCCCAGAGAAAGAAATGTAAATTACAGAGGGTGGGAAAGGTGACAGTAATGACTGTATCAACCATCCTTAGTCTTCAATCAGACATGTCCGTGAGCAAGCCTCAGGGAAACGCCAATACTCAACTGGAAAAACATGACTAGAACAGGAAACGCCCCTGGGGTATAAGCATTCTAAAGAATTGTGACCCGACTGCCTCAAGATCTGATGTCATCTTTTATCAAAAGCTGGGAGAGAGGTAAAGCGGTGGGGATAGTAATGTGTGGTAACTACGCCCCCTTTCA